AAAAATTATATCTATGTCCAGCAACCATCTCAGAATGTCTTACTGTATTATCATATCTGAGTAGTTATTTGCTGAAGAACTAACTGTATCTTGGAGAAGCCCATGTAATCAGGGATTTCCTCTGGAAGCTGGAAGCTAACTACCAAAACATTAGCGATTTCTACACACGTTCAATGTAAAACTAGCTTGAAGCTCAAAGAGATAATTTCACGTTGGAATGTATCATTATTTGGATGTCTTCCAAAATTAGTCTAAATGGGAGGAAAATATAGCAACAGAAAATGACTCTAAGAACAGTTATCAGGGACAATGAGGTAACTATAGGCTTCTTAATTAATGCTTATATAAATAAAAGTTGTGTATATAAACATATATGTATACATATTGAGAAACAGTCCATGTCCCCTGTGGCTAGCATGTCAATCTTAAAACAGATTCCTGTGAAATCAATTTTGAACATTACATTTGCTTTGTTTCCTATACACTAGATATCTTTTCTCATACTACAGTTTCATTAACTGTACACGTCAAATACTCTTAAGGATAGTTAAAGGTTAGGAATTGTTAAATTTTCAACTCATGGTAACATGAATTAACAGTCGAAAATACTATGCATAGGAAAGCAAAGTAGAAAATAAATGTCAAAAAAATTCAATTATCATTTTGATTCAAAAGAGAAAGAAACATATGTTCTTAGTCTTTTTAAAGAATCTGATGAAAGCACTGATGTTCTCTTTAAAAAAACAAAAACACTCCTCTGAACCATGAATTCAAAATTTTACAGTCAGTTTCAGGGGTAGAACTACATATCCAAGTTGAAAAAAACTCCCTGCAGTAAAAAAATTGCTCAGGTTCTAGAAGCAGATCAGGTGACCAATGATTTTGTGGCAATTCCCTTATATTAGTTTAATAATTATTACAGTAAAGATCAGTCTAGAAACTGGTTCTTGATAACGTGGAAAAGATTTAGGAAGAAAATGTGCGCATTACAAAGCAAAGAAGTAGAGCAAACTCATTATTCCATTAATTAACAATTTCTTATACTGCTAATTCAGTGAACTCAAGCTTAGAACAAGCAATGAACCTAGAAAACTGACTTGTGCACAGCGAGGAAGAGGAAAAGTGAGTTTAAGAGATATCCAGCATGGAGCCAAAAGTAGGCAGCAGCTGTTGGCAAACAGGAAGGCGATGGGGAGTGAACTGATACAAGATATTTCTCACCACAGAAAGAGGAAAAAGAGGAGGGTCTAAAACTGCGCCTCTGAGCAAACGCAGGTGTTGGCAGTGTCTCCGAATGGCCACACTCACAGCGGGTGAGAAGCTGACCTGGTCCTGGGTGCCCACAGCCCGGCCACACCAGCATCAGGCCTACTTCCCATACTTCTGGCTGGGTGTTCTGGGGACATGAAGTGGGGAGTCACTTAAGGGTGAAGAAACGACTGAGAAGAGCCATGATGACCTGAAAATCATGGACCAGAAAGCAAGGAAAGGCAAGTTTAACAAGTGTGCTCGCTCACTCTTGGATGCACCTTTTCAAACAGCCAGGGATCCATCTTCACACAGGCTTGGACCAGAGTCTCACCGGCCCACGCAGGCACTGGCCGATCTGCGGCTCGTGCGGGTGTGGCTGCCTCTGCAGGGGGGGCTCGTGTGACTGCCCCAAGAGCTGCAGAACTGCCCCCGTCTGTCACTGTGCAGAAGTGCATGCGCCACACTGGACCACTATTCTTTTGTAGGGGCAGAGTCCCATCCATAAAACTAATTTTCTGTCTGGCAAACAAGATGTGAACCAGACCTTATCAGATAGACCTACAGTTGTTATGCTTTAAGAAAGGGAGAAAAAACCTATCTGATAACCCTTTGTGATCAGGCGAAGGCCCTGAATACACAGCAGCTGCTGAGGCCTGAATACATCACTCCCATGAGGACCAGCTGATAGCCCTGTGGGGCCTCAAAACCTACAGTGAAACATTTTGCATTGTTTTCGACAAAAATTGTCAATTAACAAACCTGTCTGTAGTATGGCCATTCATCACAGGAAAAAAATGGGGGGCAGTCTCCGTGAACAGAATGGCTACTAATGGTTAAACTAAACTGCTTTTCCTCTTCTAAGAGCATCTATTTCGCCTCCTGTAATTGTATTTTGGCCGTGGAGTCCTGGACTGTAACCAGTGGCCGAAACCAGCCCGCTGCAGGCGGCGCCCCCTGGAGGGGGGTGCTGGTGAGGATAGACAGCCCCAGGGAAAATGCCGCCAAGTCTCAGGGGAGTGGAGACTCCGATAAGAAATATAAGGGACTGAGAAGGGGCCCCCGCGTTCAGTACTTGGGGTGAGGAGTTTGGGATTTCAGCACTTGTCGATCTTCAGCAATTCTGGAATCAGCGATTTCTGCCCCCACCAAGCCCATCTTCCAGAAGGCTGTCGCCAGCCTCTGAAGGACAAGGAGAGGCTTTCAGCAGCCCACCTCAGAAAGGAAGAGTTGGGAGGCTTTGCATCTAGCCAAGCCACTGAAACTGTTCCCGGTGTTGGTGCTGTTACAGCCTGGCCGGGAAGGCGAGGACCTGGGCCCGGCCCCTCGCTGGGCAGTGAAAGTAGCCGTTTGCCAGGTCTCGGCCACTGCGGCTGCTGTCTTGAGTGCGGCAGCAGCAGCTCCTGTTGTGTCCTCTGCTGTCATGTGAGTTGGAGCCTGGGCCACCGCCTGGCTGTCACATGCTCCAGGCCCTCAGTGGCAGGAAGACACCATCTTTGGAGCATGGCCTTTGCTCAGGATGGAGCTCTATGTCCTCAGTGGTGGGAAGGTGCCATCTTGGGAGTGTTAGTGTTCAGGACTTTAAAACCCTGGACACGGTTTTGGGTGAGGTAAATGGCCCTTTTGGCCTCGGTAACTCTGTTTTCCCTGGCTTGTTAAATAAATCCCATTACTGTTATTCTCTGAACTGAGTAGTCTTATAATTGCCTGCGCAGTGAAGCTCTCCGATGGTGACCGGTAAACCATTTGGGCACTGTCCTTGGCCAGTTTTAGTGCCCCTTGCTGCCCTCCATCAGAATGAAACTTGCCCTGCTGACATTTAGACACTCTTTTCCAAAACAGACAATTTGTGACTTGTAAGCATTCTCTAAATACATGCATGCATACGTGAATACTTTGCCTAGATTCTCAAAGTGCTTAAGCTTCCACCCCACCGGTCTACACAGCCAGGAAACCTCTCCCCGAGCGGGACTCACGGTAGAAATGGCGTTCACCATGCCGTTGGTGATCTGGTCCTGGCGCATGTGCTTCACGACATCAAACTGGGCGGCTCTTTGCTTAGGAATCACCTGGTCTGCAATCTTTTTCATTTCAGAATTAAATTTTTTGAACAAATCTTCAAAAAGAAGAGATAAGAGCTAAAAACAAAAAAGCACATGGTGAGCTTTTACAGTACAGGTTTAGCCTACTTGAAAAGCTTTATATCTTCATTAAACTGTTAAAAGAATGGAAAACTGCTTAAAATATTTTATGAGAGTCCATGTAATAAACATGTCCACAACTTCTATGTGTTCACCACTCTGCTAGGTGCTGGGAGGAAGAGCAAAGATGTTAACACAGTCCCTGCACTGAAAGACACCGAATTTAGACCAGCCACTCCCAGATGCTGGGATTTCACTGACCAGCGACTAACTTTTAACTTTACAGATTAAAACCAAAATGGCATGTGTGTGAGGTGGGGAATCACCACCACACCAAAGGTATGGTGTCCTGTGGACTTTCCTATGACCTGTAAACATGTAAATTGGTACAAACACTTACTGACATCACCTCATTTTTAAAGGTAGCTATCTTGTCAATATTCAAACTTAAATAATAATAATAAATCATTAATAATAAATAAATCATGGTGACACATCTAGAACAGTGCGGCCGAGGAAGCCCAAGCAACGGCATGGAATAGAAAGTCATAGAAAAGACAAGGGGGCTGTTTCCAGAATTGCTTAAGTAGCTCTTATCAGATGAAGTTACTGCTAATAATAATTACAAACCCTGGACAAAACATGAAAACTATTTAAAGGCACTGGAGAGTGTCCAACAGCAGGCAGAAATGGAGAAAAGCCAAAAATTGATAAAAATCAACAGCGTTGGGTGAACCTCCATTCTTAAGGCTTTTCAACTAAGGGTAGCATACGTGAATACTTTGCTGGGTAATTGGGAAGCTGAAACTTGGAGAGAGGTCCACGGGTTAGTGGATTAAAGAGTCAGAAGAAAAGGATAAGACCGACCACAGTAGCTAGAGTGAGGGGAATTCTCCAGAAGGAAAGAACCAGGAGAAACTGCTCAAACAATGTATATAAATCTCTGCTGACCTCTGCATGGCACACTGAGAGCTGTTGTGACCCAAGTCCACAGATGCCCCAAATCAAATCTAGGAGAGGCTGTGATGTTTCGTTCAGAAAGAAAAGGTAAGAGAACCTGTGGCTTTAAAGAGGAGGTCACTCAGGCTACGCAGGTTCTGTCTGTTCATGGGAAGTACTCTCTCTCCAAGTCTTGGCCCTTGTGACACCGTAACACTGGAAAGCCAAGGTCCAGCTGAGCCCAGCAGTCCACCCTCCCACCAACTAGCCCCACCAACTGCGGAAGAATGCCACCAACTAACGCCATCGACGCTATGTGGAACAAGAATCAAACAGCCCAGTTCTTCCTGAACTCCTGATCCCAAAAATGTGAGGGATAATGAAATGGCTGTTGCTTGAGCTACTATTTTGGGACAGATGCAATACAACAAACGAAAACCACATCACCATATAAGTTCAAACAAACTAAGTAGGTGATTTACTACAATGTAAATAAATAGCAGGCACACTTCAGTAACTAAATATAGGAGATGTTACAAATACTTAAATCCTCCTGCAAAATTAATCTATTAGTTGTTTTTTTTTTTTTTCATTTTGTGTTTCTTTAGGGAGGGAGGAAAAACTCCAGCTGCTTTTGTATTCTCCCTAAGATAATATTTAAGCAGTACTGGAGGAGGAGAGGCATCACATATATGCCAGTTATTTACTTAGCCAGGAGATCTGAGGCTCAGTGAAATCTTCTGTGTTAAAGATTTCCCAAATTCCAGCCTGGTGGATTTTTGAATGTTTCCAAACCATAGGTCACTTTTTAACCCACAATGAAAAAAGATATTTAAAGCAAATGAGTCTTCTCCTCTGGCCACTACTGAAGAAATAATTTCCTAAGTGGACTAGACTGCATGCTCCCCAACCCCCCCCCCACGTGAGGACACATCCTTCCACTTTTCTGCTCACGTCAACACTGCAGAGGGGAAGGAAAGTCAGGATCTTGGCCTTGAATCGATCATGTCAGAAGTGTTTTATAAAGAAAACTTCCTCCTCCGAGCTTAATCCTTTCTTCCACTCCGACTCAGCAGTCTCACTCGCGGAAAGAAAGAACATGAGGATGGAAGCAGGTGCAGAGGGAGGGAGGCATGAAGAAGCCCATTCCAGCGGCTTCCTGTGGAAACTGGCAAGAGGAGCGTGAATGAGCATCCTGAACAAGCAAAGGCCCTTAACCTACGCCACAAAAGCTCTGCTCTGGTTTAATTAGTCTCTTACACTTAGACTTTTTTGTCCCAAGTTATGACAACTTTTTTTGGCTTTTTTTGGCTTTTGTTGTCGGCTCGACGCTCCACCTGCGTCCTGTGCGGGAGCGCACTGTGTGGGGACCCTGCTCCTTGGGGAAAGCCTCCGCCCCTAAATCCTCAGTGTAAGAGAAATAATGTTCTCCAGTTCACAGAGCACTGAGAAACGACAAGGCCAAGTCACACAATAAACCGCATTATTTAGGTCAAGAGTGAAATGATGAAAAGGGACGGTGCGTCCCCACTCGTCGGCAGGCCCCACGAGGCTGCAGCACTAAAGCGCGAGGTCTAGCTCAGGAAAAAATGCTGACAGCTCATCAATTGATTTTCAATGAAAATGCTAAAAAAAATTAATAAAGAAGTTAAGCTGCTGAAATACAGTTTCACCAATTAGCTTAATGTCAGAGAATTCTAATTAGGTGCCTTGAGATTGCTGTTTAGTGTTTAAGCCTTCAGTGTGCCAAACTCTCCTTTTCACACAAACTGGTTGCAAAATTAAAGACATTAGGCAGCCTTAATTACATTATCAGAACAGCTGGGATTAGGCAATCTCTGAAGTCAAGACGGCATTCTTTTGTCACAGGGTGGAAATCCCTGGCTTTCCAGGGTGCCGGATTTTGGTGCCGTTCCCTATCTCCCCACACAAAGCAAGCTGCATTAGAAACAAAAAATTTGCAGACAAAGAATAGAGTAATGCTCAGCAAATAATGAACACATTACAGAAAAAGAAAAGGTAGGTGAAAAGATTAAGCCTGAAATCAGTGGGTTTTGCTAACACCTCTGCTGGCGGCTGGCCGGCCAGCACCCTGGCGGCAGCGAGACGAGGGAACCCGCCTGGCCCAGCTACAGCTGTTATCTAGAGCTGAAGCCGCTTATGCTCCCACATCCCAGGAGTGTGAAATTAGCAGCTATTGTTTTTACACATTTTCACCAACACAATACCTTTTATGTCTTTACATTGTTTATAAAGCGATGTTTTCATACACATGGGAACCCTCTTTTTAATTCTAATTTTTTAAGCAACAGGATAGTCTCTCCTCTCACGACTCCATTCCTTATTCCTCTGAGCCACCACCGTTCTTTAATAGACTCATTTAACAGCATGGTTTTCTCCAAGTGAAAAGCAATAAAAATCGGGGTTGATGGGGACCCCCCCAGCACCCGCGACAGTGACCAATCTAAGGATGGCCAAAGACCCACCTGCTAGCGTGTCAGCCGTTAACCAGATATGGCATCCTCATCGGTCCAGACACTAACTTTTCCAAACTGCTATCACTGTCTCAATTCTAGTTCTAAATTCCAGCGGTTGCCATACCTGCTGCCATCACCCCAGGCATTACGACCGTGAAGACTGGCCGCGCCTCCTACCCCATTCATTCCTGCACAGCTCGTCTCCAAAGCAGATCTGCCGAAAGCGGGAATCAGATGGTTGTCACCCCCAGACTGAAACTGCCCAGTGATGGTCCTCTGCGTGTGAAAACAAACCCAAAGTCCTTGCCTGCCAGGTGCCCCGTGTCACCCCTCACCACCCCCACGCCTCACCCACTACAGTCACAGAGACCCGTGGGCCGGACTGCCTGGGGCTTCTTCCCCACTTGGGTCTCCCCCGACGGCAGTTCCCAGGGTGGCTGAGACGGGTGTCTCCTCATCCAAGTCTCCACTAGAAAGCACCGAAGCTCAGTTTAAAGTGATTACTTTTTCAAAGAGCTCTTTGCTGAATGTCCTGACATAAACATCAGCCTGTCCTGGGTTTTCTTGACACACTTGTTGACCACCTAATAGCATCACACCTATTTCCTGGCTACTTGCTCTGTTTTCTCTCCCCAAGCGCACACTCCTGAGAGGTGAAGCCCCATCACATCTCCTTCACCGCTGTAGTTCTGGTGCCTGAAACTTTGTCCCTGGCCTCAATGGGCCTAACGTCTAAAGGGAAAGAAACACAGAGGTAAACTGAGGAAGACCTGGGCAAAGTACTACTGACACCTGCTTCCAAATAGTCCTGGGGTTCACAGTGGTGTTAGAGAGCGTAACGTAAAGAATAAAAATGGGGAGGAACTCCTGATGAGGGGCAGGGGAGGGGAGTCGAGGGAGGAGCAATGAGGGAGAAGGCATCTACACCCCACTGTGTTTGGAGCGAGGGCAAGAGGCTCGCCTCGGCCTGAGATGACGCTGAAGCCACGCGGAGGCAAGATCATCAGGCAAGATCACCGAGGAGCCGGCACATCCTGCTAAAGAGCCACAGATTCTTCCTGCAGAGCATGCTGCAGTTGTAGACTCCATGGGGGAGTTTCAAGGGAACGGCAAGAAGCCAGAGGAACAAGCCCTTACACCCCACCTTGGCTCAGAGAAGCTCCACTTCTGTCTGTTTTAACACCAGGATTCCAAGTAAACGCCAATGTTTAAAAAACCAAAAACCCTCGCCTGAAGCTCAGGTCTGCTGAGGGAAGCTTCTAAGAAACAAACCCAACCTCAGAGTGGACGCTCAGGTGTGCGCATGTACGGCTCTCCAGCCGTGAGAAGGCGGACGCCCGGCCGGAGCCTCCAGCACAGACAGAGGAGCAGGGTGCAGACACGGCGTACGGGGCTGGGGGGCGGTTTAAACACAATCCTGCTGTGTTCACACTTGAGCTGTGACATGTGAGTTGAGTGTTAATACACAAACACACATAAGCATCATAGTTTTGCATGGACAAAATTTCTTTAAGAACATACGCGAAAGCAGGTGGATGGCCATCTCTGCAGCAATGCACACACCTAGTTGATCAAATCTTCTCTTCAGTAAGAGGGCTCTCTTCATCAATGGGCAAGCAACAGACAGATATTTTCTTCAAATAGCTACCAATGCTGGCAAACTACTCCTTTATATAATTTCTTCCAAAATTGTAAAACCTAACTCCAAATGTGTTCCTCACAAAAAACCCAAAGACCCATAAAGCTTATTATAAATTCACACATGGGCCTAGGATACCTGCAAACCACTAGTTTTCTACAACAAGCGTGAAAACGCCCGTTAACAGAGCTGTTGTATGTGCACAGCGTGACTCTGGAGGGAAGCAGGGTAGAAAGTAGGGTGGAAGGGTGGGAAAGAGACTCACTTCACTGCAGACTTTCTTATAACGATCTTCAATTCCTTTTACTATGCTATTATGCTATTTTTTTAAAAGCATCTATACTGTGTATTACTATTTTTATTTAAAAGCACCTACTATTTTATTATGTTTAACTTACTGTTTATATTATTTTGAAACATTCGTTAACATTAAAAAAAAAATTCAAGGTACTTAAAGAAGTAAGACAAGGAGCCAGGAGCATGGTGTCAGGCTGAAGCTGTCCGGCACAGTCTCACCCCAGGCTGGAGGCCTGGAGTTGCAGCCCTGTGTTTCCCAAGGAGCAAGCATGGAGCAAGAGGATTGTATCTGTGCCTTAAACTAACCTCAGCAGCATTGGGTGGGAGAGGAATAGGACTGGAGTGAAGCTAATAGGCGATGCTGATGGTGAAGCAATTATGCTGGAGCTAAGTCAGAGAGGCAGAGCAAGTGGAACGAGCAGGACCTGGTGACTAATCTGAAGTGAAGAGTAAAGGAACAGCAGGAGTCCAGGATGACGCAGACGTCCGCAGTCTGCAGACGTGGGAGGTTGGCACTGCTGTGGACTACGACAGCAGACGAAAGAGGATCTTCAAAGGGGCTTTAAGGTGACATATTTTAGAGTTCATGATTAACTGACTCAACAAAGATGAGATGTGAGTCTACTACATCGGGCACGTGGTGAATAGATGCTCAGTTTACAAAGATGAACAGGAGAGACAGTTTCAAATCGACTGTAACTGCTTCCTGCAGCCGACTGAGCCAGATTCCCTGAGGTTGCTACAGAGACTAGATTCTGAATAGAACGGCCTCTTGGTGTACTGCTGAGCACGCAGGAAGGACAGGAAGTTCAAGGTAGCCTCTCCCCATGATGCCCTCCACACTACAACAGTTACTAGATTAAAATAGGAGCTGAAATTAGAGTTTATAGGAGCATAGTTAAAGAATTAAGAGAGTTTCCATAGTTAATGAAATTCTTAGGTCAAACAGAGTAGTAAATCATGTGCTAAAGGTCTATACTTCAAATATATGCAACTAACAGTCCATTTGCCTCTTCTACTATCAAAATGAATACCAAATTAGTTTTTATTAAAGAAAATAAAAACCTGTGACATGAAATAATTCAATCACCTGTCCTGCCAGTTCCAGTCGCTTGTTCCCATAATAGTCCCGGTCATCAACTTTATTATCTCCTTGGGCCAGAATTACTCTGCGCACCATCACTGCAGTGTAGATACATTTGGCTCGGAAGTTAAATTCTTTAACCTGTAGTATATCAGAGAACATTTTTGAGACAATGGACAAAATTTATGGTGCCCTGAATAAAAACCAATGTTACAGCATTTAAATAAAATAATAGATTGCTATGGCTATCCCTACTCAAAGAAATTCAAGTACTTTAAACTTCTTGGGAGGCAAGATGACTTTTCAACTTTCTTTAAAAAAAAAAAAACAGAATTACTGCTTTAAGATTTTTACTTATTTTGCATCAAACTGGGGAATAGGCCAGAACTGCAGGGAATGAGGATTCCCCAGAGACAGAGTGGGGCGCAGAACAGGTGGATCTGCTGAAACACACTGCTGAGGGGAGCAACGGGGAGACCGCAGCGGTCTGCTAACATCTGGGTCAGCTTCCCAGTCGGGGATCTAACTCAGGCTGCTGGAAGAACTGTCATCGGAGACATACCCCTAGGCCACTGAGGAGGCCTGACTTTTCAGCTTTCTGTACTCAGTTTCTGCAGGAGCTTTTCTTCAAACAGGATCCCTATTAACTCCAATTTATTTCAAGCCACTCCACTCACAGGTAGAGTCTAACCTCTTTGAGTTAGCATCTAAAATGGCAATTTCCATCCCCTTTTCCAGCTCTGAGGTATGACGCGGAGTCCAGGACACTGTCCTGGGGGAGAGGCTCCCTGAGGAGCCAGAGATGAGTGTAGACAAGCCTCGTCCAGCCCCAGCTCAGATATCCAGCCCAGTCTAATCCTCAGAGACTCCAGCCGCTGCCTTTCCTCCCTCACTGGATTATGTGCTCCAAACTTTAAATGGCAAGTCAGGCCTACGGCGAGCCTGGGAGTGCCAGTGTTCAGCTATGGGTCTTTAGGAAAAGCTGTCCGCAGTTACAGACAAGGGTGAGTGAGGTGCCCCACAGTCTGTGATCGTGTCAGCGGGCAGGAGACCAGGGCTCTGCAGCATCGTGGAACCGCCACAGCCTCGTGAAGAAGTGGTACAGATGAGGAAACTGAAGCTTAGAAATAGTATGATTTGTCCAAAGTAAACAAGCTACGAAGTAAGAAATCCAGATTTGAACTGTTAATCTCTAGTGTCAAGGCCCATATTACTTCTACTCTCCATCTTGTTACTTTGAGTTTTAAACTCCTTTACCAGTCCTCCAAGAGTTTTATTCAGTTCAGACCCCGCTTCAGCACGAGGAATTTTCTAATTCTGTGAATTAGGTTAAGGACACACAGAAACAGATGGCAGGTGAAGAACTGAACCAGAAGCCTGAGCTGTCTGGCCAGGCAGGTGTTCTAAAACAGGGAGCATATATTAGGGGGTATGGGATGACTCCGGCCAGCACCCCACTTGCCAACATGGTCAAACTCTGCCTCGTGACAAGTTGACAGGAGCACACAACAGGCAGGGCGGGGAACATGGCTCAACACAACATGGCTCAAGGGCGGGGAACACACCAGCTCGCCTGGCCATGACCCGGTTGGGTGACAACATCGGTCAGTCTCATCTGTCAGGACCTGAGCACTGTCATACAAATTGAGGTGAGACAAGGTGGACCTAGGATTCAAGTCTAGGAGGCGAATTCTTCTGATTGCTGTTAAAATATCTGCAGTGAGACTCTCCCTGGTGGCGCAGCGGGTTAAAGCACAGCACTAAGAAGCTAAAGCCACTTCCGTATGAGTTCGATCCCCGCCCCAGAGGTGACCACATGGCGTGGCAGACCTCTCCTGACCTGCCCGCTGCTCCCCTCAGCAGTGTACTTCTTCCATCTGCCTGTTCTGCTCCCCACTCTGTCTCTGGTGAAGCCTCTCACCGCCCCCGCACCTCTGGCCTGTACCCCAGTTCTGTATGCATAAATAAATAAATCTTTAAAAAAAAAATCTGCAGTGAACATGATCATACAACCCCAAGGCTCTGCTTATGCCACAGACCTGTGTGTGAACATGGGAACTTCTGTGTTACACAGAGTTCACCAACTTTTCCCCAACCATCTAGATGGTTCAGATACCATAAGCTGGCTTTAATTTAAAACATCTAAGATACCATTTCTGTCCTTCAAGACCATGGCCTCAAGGAGCAGCATCAGTAATATATTCACGGAGATCAAAAGCTGTCAGTTCAGACTGAAAGAAGCAGCACAAGAGAAGACACAAGACGGTGATGATGATACTACAGGAAATCTGCTCTGGGACCAAACCAACCATGGGTGATGGAGGGTTATTTGCAGCAGGGAGACCAGCCCTCTTTCAGAGTCTCTTGCTTAAGGAACTAGACTTTAAAGGACTGGACTTTAAACTCTTTTCAAAATGCTTTCACAGAAACACGCAGACGCCACAACTGCCATCATTCACCGCAGCAAAGATGTAACTCACAGGAACGTGGGTCAGGATGGTCGAAGCCAGGAGTTCTCTTGCTTCTTCTATCTTGGTTTTCTTTGGTCCCCCGCCCCACATTCTCTGCCTTCTTACTTTGTTCCCTATGTATTTTAATGCCTACAAAAGACAGAACATATGATAATAATGTCTGAATAACATTATCGAAGAGAATGTACTACGCTCCCACCTGTGTGTGTAACGCTATAAGCAAATGAGACGCAAATGCTGACGGAGGAGAAAGATGCACGGGGCCTCCTGAAAAATCATTTTGTCATGTCAGCAACAAAGCAACATGACGTGTGTCTAATGAACTGTTTCCCTTTTATTTTATAATTTGTTTTCTTACTATAAAATTGATATATGATCCTTTTAGGAAATTTTAAAAATATAGATGAGTGAAATCATCATAAAATATCTTATACTTTATAAAGCAGCTTTCAATCCCCCACCCAGAGAGAACCATAGTCCACAGTTAACATTTTCAGGAAGTAGTTTTTTCCCCTCAAAAGAAAAAAAAAAAGCCCCACATCATTTTCATAGAATGGAAGATTTATGTTAAGGTGACTTATTGTTAAAAATTATCTTCAATTTATCATAATTATAAATTATAATCCTGGCAGGCTTTACCCACTGATTTTGAAATTTATATGAAAATGCAAAAGATTCTGCTAAAATCACCTTATAAGAAGAACAATTAACCTCATTATCTGATTTCCATCATAAAACTACAATAATCTTGACAGGGTGATACTTCTATAAGCAGAACAGACAAATAATAGAAAAGAATAAAACATTCAAAAATAAACCCACACTTCGATAGTCAACTGATCTGTGACCGAAGCGCCAAAGCAATTCGATGCGAAGGGCAAGTCTTTGCAACAAACAGTGCTGAAACAACTAAAGATCCCAAAGTAAAAATTAACCTTGACCTCTACCTCCAATCAAACAGAAAATTCTGATTAACCTGGAGGTGAAAACAGACTAGGCAAGGCATCACCGAACTTCCCAGGGCAATGGAAATATCCTACAATTTGTGAAAATTATGTAATTAAGATTTGTGCATTTCATGTCCATAAATATTAAAAATGGTTTAACCAAGTAATGGGTGAGGAGTTGGTAGATTCAGATAAAATAAGAGCAAACAGTGAACTGTCTAGAATTATGAATCCAAGTGATGGGGTTCATAAAACTATTTGGTACCTTGTGTGTGTGTGTGTGTGTATATGTAAAATTTTCCAAAAAAAAAAAGCTTCTGAAGAAGAGGATAATGTGATTTTTATTATAACAACAACAAATGCATTTTTTTTTTGGTCAAATTAGCTTTCAGTTAGAAGAAAGTTCCCTGATTCTTTACCCCAGAATTTCTGTCCCCAGTTATCTGCATAAGGAATTTTTTTCCAGGCTTCAAAACCTACAGCAGAATCACTTCCTCACTGAACGAAGCCTTCCCTGCTGTCAACTCTTTTCCTCTGCTATTTTAATTCCTTATGTATATAAATTGAGTACTTTCATCTGACTTCTTAATTCTCTATGTATCTTTATGAATCCCCTACTGAACTGTATCATCTTTTTCTTAGATTCCTAATGACTTAGCACAGTGCCTGGAACTAAACAGAATTCCCCTGTGACTAAGACATGAGCATCAAACCTAAGATCTTCCTTGCTAAAGGGCATTAGAGCATAAGATCAGCTGAGACCCGGAAAGGCTTGCTGCAGAGACCTGGCCGTAAGCAGCACGCACAAAGACAGTTAAAGCAAGCCAGCAGTTGGTGGGAATCAGAGCAGACTGGCAAGAGAGCTTCACTGAACTAAACTGAGCTGTCCTCAATAGATTCTGGTCTTCTGGTTCCCTTGCATAAAAGCTAGAGATCCTTCACCTCTTTAAGAAAGAAAGAGAAACATAGCAAAGCCTTCCACCCCTTCTGAAAAAGCAAGAAATCACCTTTTGCCTGGAATACCTAATAATGTTCCCAGAGTTTCATGGTGTGAGGACCCCAATCTGTTTATAAATAGGCCAAGGAAATAGCCCTGATGATATCTAACCTCCCAAAAGGTAATAATTTCTTCCCTATATACCAGTAAATGATACCTAACGTTCATGACCAATATATGCAAAAGGCTTCATGAGCAGAAGAAATGCAGGAAAGACTAAATAGGCAGGCATTAAAAACAAAAGGCAATGCGGGCTTCAATCAGTCCTCTAAAGTACCATGCATTCGAAAGTTCTATTATGCAAGAAGTATATCTGGCATATTTGCATTTAGAATATAAAATAATCATGGAAGATTACTTAGGCCCCAGCACCTTTTATTAGCTGCAAATATTAATCAATACCTTAATTTTATGCTCCTGTTTATTTTTCCAATGTTGGGAACACTTTCTGCTCAATGTTAACTAATTGCATGTTTCCATCTTTTCACTGAACTCCTCTAATTCCATTAGCAGAAAGTTTCAGTCAGTATCTAATTAAGAGAAATGAATGACTTTCTGGGCTGTGGATTAGCCCTGTTTAAACAGCTCTACAATGCCAGGGTTACGTGACCCACGATGATGTCTGTAATAAAGTGAGTAACGGTATCAGTGAATCCACTGGGGTGTCACCGAGGTAAGCTGCTCTTCAGAGCATTACACAGCTTTGAAGGATGGGGTATATCACCTCAAATTGAGCCAATTCCTGGGTATTTACTCCTTAATGTTTTCTCTTCATGTTCTTGGAACCCTTGGACAACATCACTTGAGTTCGTAATAAGAATTCATGTTCACTTAAACCATTATATTTTCCATAAAGACCAAACCCACAACTCTCAAATTAAAACAAATTTTCCCAAACTTAGAGGTGATTCCTGGTTAACTGCAGAGAAAGAGGAAGGCAGTGATGGGACTAATCTCTAGATTTATGTTTGGGGGTTACATCTATTTGCCTGATGACAACTTACCTCCCTAAGTGTGTGGCTCAGTCTATGAAAATATTAGCATCTGTTTGACTTTCAGAAGATAGATAATCAGAGCTAAGCGGGAAAATGTATTTGTGCAAGCATCCTGGGTGACAGGAAAACAGCAGCCTGGAATTTATACCTTGTTACAAGAAACCCAGAGCAGAGACAAGGAAACTCCGAGCCCCCAGGATGGCCACGAAGACACCACCATCGACTGAGCAGAGCACTTTACAACTGTGGGACCGAAACCCCCAAGTATGGCTGCCGGGCTCACGGCACGTGGGGAGGGAAGTGCCATTAAATGCCGAAGGTCGGCGCGCGGACACACGCACACAGCTCTCGTCTTCGTGGAGTCCAGTCCCAAGGTTCTTGGGTAATCACCTGGAGAGCTGACGCAGACCAGTGAGGGCCCTCGGAGCAAAGCACCTCTCCTGAGGTAACGCTGGGAGCAAAGGGGAAAAGGACAGAGACCACGGACAACTGGGTGCTGAAAGCGACTGGTGGTAGTGACTAAAGAGGGGTATTAAGGAGAAAGGCATGAAATTAGAACCTTCTATCTCAGAGGCACTAAGCTGACAAATTAGCTACTCTCAGGCAAATATGGGAAAAACACAACACTGCTATTAAATTAGAACAAAGCCTCTCAGCCCCACATTACCCTTCTGAGTTAGAGACACAGGCTGAGAAATTGTCCACGCAGGCTCCTTTCTCCAGCCCTAAAAAAATGAGTCAGAGCAGCTTCTCTACCACTCTTCTCACCTCCCCCGACGTCCTTCCCAAGCCTGCAGGCCAAAAAGTTATTGCATCTGAGGCTTTATCAATGGGCAGCATTAAATCTCTGATTCCCTTTCATAGCAAAGGACAACATGAAAAGACACACCTGCATCTGTGTGAAAATCTGAGCCTTCTGGCACTCTTCCAAACTGGGCCCAAACGCTGCCATCACGTGCTCCTCTGTCCCAATCATCTGCACAATTTCCTGGTCACTCTCAACACCCATGGCCTAGGAAGGAAAGAAAAGATAGAAAGAGTGTTGGCTTTGTGTTAACTCACTGACATTTGCTTATGCTAATTTGGCATTGTTTGTGGGTATTACTTCTAAGCAAAAGCTAGCTCTTTTCTCAGAAACAGTGCCATCTGGCACTGGCAGCCACAGCCTGAGCTGAAGAACCTGAAACAGAAATTTTGATTAGGAAGAAGAAAACAAACATTCTCAGGCACTTTCCGCATGTGTGCTATCTGCAAAAATGTTTAAATATACTATGAATTTCATCATGGAAAAAAGCAAAGGAGGCAGGAGGGGAGAGTGGAGACAGAGGGTCTGCACTGCAAAGACAAAATGAAAAAAATAAGTCAAAAAAATAAAAAAAAAAAAACAGCAAATCAGAAAATACTCATTACTGAAAATAAACAGAACCCCAATGAGAGCGGTCAAGAGATTAGTTTTTCTGAGTATTCTCAAATCATTCACACTTGGGTTGAAAAAGTTTTCCTAAAGGATGTTTTACCTCACTTTTCTAGAGCTATCAGGCTATGGTGTTGGGCAGGTTTTAAAAGAGAATCATTTTAAAGAACCACGAACACACTTATGGGTCTAAGAAACCCACTTATCTTAAGTGTTTCAAGGTGACAGTCCGGCACCACAGGTCTTTGTAGATTCCATATGGTACCAAAGTTCACTCCTTCACACATTCGCCTGGAATTCTGCCATATCGAGAAACGGAGCATAATCTCCCTAAACCTCTCTTGGCAGAGAAATAATCCCGCTTCTCAGAGGTGCAGGGAAAAGTTAGGTTTGCATTAAAATTCTTCTATTAGCTTTGCAGAGAAAACAGACCCAACCCTAATACAATGGTCTGGCTTGGTTTTGAGGCTATTTCTCAGTTCTCCTCTGCATACACGAGCAAGAGAGGGAAGAATCGGACCCCAAGTCCCCAAGACCGAGTGCGCAGAGGCATCTGACCAGCCCAGCGGGCCCATGCGAGCTTCAGACTCGGAACTCACACTCCTCGCCACCCCCCTTCCATGCAATTCCTGCACTTCCGTGACAAAACCAGGCTCTTGCAGTTCTGAATTCTACAACTGAATTGTAGTGGTCTGTCTTTTGTAAATTTGGTCTGGATACTTTAGGAATCGCTGTAAATTTACTGCATATTTTGAACCTGGGGTCGGGGGAGGAAATATAGGCTATTTCTCTTCTCAGCCAACTCAGGTGGTTTTAAAAATGTTGCCCATTCTTAAAGATGGATTCTCCTGCTCTTGAGTGTACATTAAACTTAGGACTCAATTCTCCAGCCAAAAAAAAATGGCGGCAACAATGCCTGACTTTGCTGGCTGCTCCTAAGAGACACGGCAGCTTCCCACCCCCACACTGGGGGAGCCAGGACCCTGTGATGGAGACACCACACCCTCCACGGGAAGCCTCCTGCTGAGGAGCTCCTGGCAGCCTTCAGATAACTACAGCTGAGCGGACATCTTCACTCACGAATCACCCCGAGCAGGAACCCCCCCCCAGCTAAGGGACTCCCAAGTCCCTGACCAACAAAGCAGTGCACCCAACTGTACACAGCACAAATAACCTGGCAACAACTTCTGGTAATAAATTGACTATTTAAATTTAAAAAAAAAAATTTAAGTGTGTAACTTGCTAAAAAAAGTTTTTTTAGCAAAGTTCTTAGGACACAAATCTCTTTTTGATGCATTTTAATTTTCTTATCTCTTTATACCTAATTTGATATGATGGATTTATTCAAGCAGACACTATCAACTCCACAATTAAACATTCATTCAAATTTCATAGAGAATTCTGCCTCTGGTGAATCCTCTCACTCCTGCACCTCTGGTCTACAGTGTAGTTCTTGTATGCATAAATAAAATGAGTCTTTAAGAAGAAAGCAGAGCAATCCTAAAAGATTATCTCTTCTAACTTTTAAATAAATGAAAAACTTAGATTATCAGTGGGGTTGCAGCTACTCAGCAGACATGGAGAGCCATGGACACCTTTGCAAGCAGCCAGTCAAATATCAGAAGTGAGTATTTCTCTGTGAAAAGTGAATCAGCGATAAGCTAACTTCTACTGTCAAGCTCAAAAGTCAACATCATACAATCAATGGGTTTCAACGGAATTCAGTAAGTCCCACCACCACCCATTGGTTCTTGGCAACTGTGACTATGAAGTGAGATGACATGAAACAAAACCCGTCCTTGAATAACATGGCTTTGCTCAAGACCAGGCAGGATTTATTTTCTCATCAATGTTGTAACAAAATAATGTTATGGAGCTGCTCTGTGTGTGTGTATATGTAAATGCAACTCATTTGCAGTAGGCTCCAATAATCTTTTTCTAAAAGCCTTGATAAAAAATTTCACAACCGGGCCCTCCCTGGTGGCGCAGCAGGTGAAAGCACAGCACTGAAAATCTAAAGCCGCTTCCGCATGAGTTCAATTCCCGCCTGCCCCGGAGGTGACCACATGGCGTGGCAGACCGCTCCTGACCCTCCCGCTGCTCCCCTCAGCAGTGTACTTCGTTGATCTGCCTGTTCTGCCCCCCGCTGTCTCTGGTGAAGCCTCT